CAGCTTCTCAAGGTGTTCTTTCATGAGGTCAGCATTAATGGAGGGCAGGGGATCTCCCTCACCTGGACTGCCCTGTCCCATGGTGGGCATGTGCGTCCCATGGGACTGATGCAAAGTACCCATTTAATAGGTTGGCTTTTTCCTGGGTTTTTCCTTTTTCCTGGGTTTTTGTAATGCTTACTGTGCAGTAGTGTATTAAACAGTTTTTGCCTGGCACACTACTGTGTAGTGTTATTAGGCTACTGCACATGAAGCATCTCATGTAGGCACACCCACTGGGAGCAGGCAGCTTTGGGCTAGGTTGCTTGGGCTGGCTGCTCCCTTGTCTCTGCGAGCCACTCTCTGGCTGGCTGGGGTGCAGGGTGCTTAGTGCAGGGGCTGCCTGTCAGCTAGCCCCATAATCAGGCAGCCTGTATCCCAGCCAGCCCTCACTGCAGCACATGTAACTTGGCTGGAAACTGAGAAGAGCTGGGCACAGGCAGTTTGTCCAAAGCAGGACAATTTGTCCCTCAACAAATCACACATTCTGGGGGCATGCACTGTGACACAAATGAGCAGCACAAATTTGTGCCGCTACTGTTTGTGCTGCTGCAAAGTGCATGTCCCTACTCATCTGGATGTGGCCCTAGACTCCAGGGCTAGTTACAGACATTCAAAAAGCCTGAGGCAGAATCAGTCCAAGTTACAGAGTTTTCTGTAAACAGCATAGTTTAGATCGATAGCGAACAGAGCACACATTCGCCCTTTGGTTGGAGGGGCAAATCTTAAACTAGGTTTGGCCATTTTTAAACCAGTCTATCTGTGCCAATTTTCTGTTCTGTTACAGGTATGGACTAGTTTTGTGAGCTGAACATCTGTTTTGTTACAGGTATAGACCAGTTTCCGATCACTTATACCAGTAAAAGTATAATGTCTGTACCTGGCTAGTAAGGAGAAAAGCTAGAGAATGAAAGACAAAAACTTACCTGTTGAGTTAACAGATGCTGGGAATTAGAGATAGTCAAGACATGGAGAAACCAGTTCACAAAAAGGGACAATTTGCAATACATGCATTCCACAGAGTTCAACATGTAATGGTTTCTCAGTTTGCGGTTTTTAATTATTTTTATCAACAAGTTTATCAAAACAGGTCTCTTTTAAATTGTTTCTGTATTTGAAACCTGTTTTTACTAAACAGATTATTGCTGTAGCAATTCTAAACATGATATCAGAAAACCAATTTTACTAAAAATATAAACAGTGCAGAAATTGTTGCAAAAAGGAGTGAAGAAAATTATTGAGGTTTTTGGAGAAAGAGTTCTTTCTTTAATACAGGATTTTTTTGTGAAAAATTTCAGGAACTTCTGTTTGGAATGTTTCTTCCTTAACACTGTTCCTAAATAAATCAGTAGTTTCCTTCTGACTGCAACTGGGTGTTTTTTCTCCCTTTTTTGGATTAGTTTATTTTTAAGGAGGAATATTTCTTGCTTTTTTAAATATAGTTTATTAGAACAGTTATATTAGTGAATGTTTTATACCAATTTGGGTACCTTTCATTTTAATTTAGCCCTGCAGCATGTTCAACCCCACTGCTTTTTATAGGGAAAACTGGAATGACATAGATTGGTAATATTGCTATGCCCAATATTACCACTGTGTGCATGAGGGAAGTAGAATAGAAATAAAAACTGTTCTTCTCTATTTTTATTAATAATATCAAATATATTCCTCTGAAGAATACTGCTTTCTCAGTTGAGGTCAAGCAAGGACTTCAAAGTCAGTGAAATAAGTAAAGCAAACCATTGAAGCTCAAATTCTTTCCTTTGTTGCAAAAAAATAGAAAAGAAGAAAAATAAAATCTTCAGCAGGAATATATAACTCGGTAAAACATAAGAAATGTGTAGATTGGTCTATTTATTGGGATTAGAAAAATGAGTTAACCAATATGAGTGAGTTAAAATTATATCAATAACATTGTATTATTACCCACTCCTCTGCACTATTTCTATGCATTTCCTTAATGGAACCTCTGATTGCCCTAATGTTTAAAATTAATGTTTGCGACATTTTGTTTTCATTCATCAAAAGTCAGATAGACAGCAACGGCTCACTAAATGGAAATGTCTAAAATTCACCCATGTTTCACATGTGTTAAATACATAGCTTTGATGAATCAAAGATATTAAGCCAAAGTTACTGCTTATATGTGAGGGACTCATATATAGTACCTTTTATACGTGAGGGACTTATACATATAGTCCCTCTTCCTGTATGTTCCTAGGACCCGTAACTTTGCAAAACGTTCTTGAATTAGACTTCTAGCTATGATAATTTACTTTTATCTAGTTGCAAAACATCCGGTTGGTTCATCACAAGATGCCACAGTAAATGTGTGGCTGCATTTACCAAGCAGGAAACAGACTTTTAGATAAGAAATTGACGTCTTGCTAAGAGTGCAGTACTGCGATCACAGTGTCCCAATCAGATGCCATCTCTGCTGCTCATAACCTGCTTTCAGTTTATGTCCGCTGCTAGAGACATCAAGCAAGCAAAGGGGAAGTTAATTGTATTGATTAAAGGAATCAGAACTGAGAGGGGCAGTGGCAGGTCAGCATTGTTATTTTGTTACCATGCTGTTCATAGGGGCCTGCATAAAAGATCATATTCATATCTCTGTAGTTGATTGGATACCACTAATCAAACAAGACTAGTTCAAAGAGATTCCATGTTGAACTTTTCTATTAATTTTAGAAGTGGAAAGTGGAAAAAAAGCAGATTCAAAGCACAGGAACAATGCCAGGTTGTGTAAAAATTAGGCACAAACAACTGGTGTCTTAATAATAGTTTTTTGGGAAAGTGCCAAAATGCTGTTACTTTGTATATACTGCATCCTATACAAAGATTTAACACAAGTTAATTCCATGTCTCTAAGAGCTAATGATTTTATTAAACATATAAAAATGCATTTACTTCCAGTTTACCAGCTGCAAGCACTTCTTTATGAAAGGAGATGCAAATGGTATAAGCAATATATTGTTTCCAGATCTATATACTTAATGTTTCATCATTAAAAGAGCAAAAGGGGGGTGAGAAGTAACAAAAAATGTCACTCACAAGCTCAGCAGTTAATAACTTCCATTTTCATTAGTCATTTTTGCCTGCAACTAAATCCATGATGCAAACCAGATCTGCAACTGTGACGCTGTGGTAAAAGTTGTAGTTCTTTCAAGTGTGTGAGTCATAACTACATTATCATTAAAGCAGTAAACTGTAAGCATTCCTCATGAAAGAAATCAGCTCCCCAGTCAATTACAGCACATTGGAAAGAAGCATTGTGTGAAACTGGAATCTCCCTGGATTTAGAGAGTGGATTTGAGGGTTTAATTTTTTGGTGCTTTGTTTTTTTCCTCCCTGTTTAAAAAATATGAAAAACTTTTATGAATGAAAATTCTTTAAATAATTGGAATTCATCCAAAAAAATTGAGAGCTGTGAATACCAAGCAGTTATTCTCTATGTTAAAATGCCAATGACACTAATAAATTCAGTGAAAATCTAAGAAATTGCTGGAAGGTATAGTTCATTTCTGCTGCACAAGGGATTTTAGAAGCACTCAAGTTACAATGTATTGTCTACATGTTAGTTGAGGCAGGAAGTCATGTCCTTTGGGTTTTATTCCCAGAACTCCTGCTGAGTGTCCTTAGACAAACCAGCTAATCATTATTTGTCTGCAATACTACTGCCATTAACAACCCATTTGGGATGTTGTGAAGCAAAATAAGTTAATGTCCGTAAAGCAAGGTGAAATCCTTGCAAAAAAGGCACTGTATTAGCACAAAGTTAGCTTTTTATTCAGTTGAATGACAGTCTTTATTCTGGAGACATTTAATTATTATGGATACTATTTACACAACATTATGGGATTTTCCCCTAAGCTTCTGTGTTTGCTATTTTCTTATCCAGCTGCTGCTGTTCTTGCTCTAATCAGCCTACAAGGCCAAAAACAGACCTACTCACTTCCGACTAAGCCCTATTTCCAGTATCATAAGTAAGGGTAGGCCTTACCCCAAGTGCCAAGGGTAGCCTACCCCAAGTGCCAAGTTAAGAAGGTGTCAGAATTGTCTCCTACCCCCACAGAATCCACCCCCAGCAGCAAGAGCAGCCCTACAGTATTGTTCTTATATCAGCAGCAGCAGTTGCATGGACACCTGGGTGCTTCTGCTTTAAGAGCAGGAGCCAAGGCAGGCAGCGCATGTAGCAGCAGCTGCACAACCAAGAACTGTTTTAGAGTTCCCAGCCTGGGTAAGACTTTTGTGCCTCCTCCCCACTCAGCTCTTGCTCTCCATGCACTGCTCCTGCTGCTCTTGGAACAAAACTACACCCCTACCATGCTTTTTCACAGGGTTCACCCAGGGCACAAACCCTGGTTGTTTCGCTTCTCCCTATATCTTCCTTCCTCTTACATGCTCAGCTCCACGCTCCACGAGGTCACATCTACATGCTTCCAGTAAGACCACTCACAACAGCAAGTGCAACATTGCTGCTAAGTGTCTGGAAAACTATGTCCATTTAAAGGTGACATGCAGATTGTAACGTCCTGCTAATGCCTTTGTATGTTTGTAATATACACCTGATCCTGCAAGCACTCAGTCCCCACTGACACATATTTCAGTAATGGTCTGACAATTTCTGAGGATCTGCCCCTTTGCTTTATGCAGAGGCCAACAAACTAACATCACACAGATGTTGGTTAGGAGTTTGAAGAAGTAGCATCTCTGACTGACATTGGCATATACACTTTTACTGGTATAAGTGATAGAAAACTGGTCTATACCCATAACGGAACAGAAGTTCAGCACACACAGACTGGTTTAAAAATGGTGGACCCTGGTCTAAGATTTGGCACACTCCCTCCTTCCCCCATCCCCCTTTGGCAAATGTATGTTCTCTTAGCTACTGATCTGAACTACACCACTTACAGAGAAGCATGTATCTTAGATCCATTTTGCCTTGGGCTTTTTGACTGTCTGTACCTAGCCCTAGTGAGCATAGATACAGTTATGCAGGCAAAACTGTATACCTTCCTTTCTCTTTTGGGGCATGATGGTAATGGTTTCACTCTTGGTATGGAGCACAGCTTCAACACTATAGGTGAACCAACAAACAGGATTGCTTTCCCAGTTCAATATACTGGTATTACTACACTTCTAATATACACATTGTTTGTCCTACTTTGTAGTCATGGGGCTATTGTAATAGTAAAAACGATGTTCAGAACTAAATGTTAGTGGGATCAGGCCCTATGACTAGCTAAAAGGCAAAGTTGCAGACAATGCGTCTCGTTGCTTTAACCATGAAACTGATACAGCTGGAAAAAAAAAACACTGCTTAAATATGTAAGCAGCTATGCAAGCCATGTAAAGACTGCTTTTCACCTTTTCAAATGGTTTCTTTTTTCAGTTTGATTTTTTCATCTTGTCATGTCTCCTCTCTGGCTGTTTATGTCTTTTTTTCTTTAGTTGTTTATAAAGTTGACAAAAATTGTAGCTCAGCTCCCTTCCCATTTTATTCTGTAATAGACAATTTGCAGATTGATGAATTCTTGTTGCAGCTATTCAGTCTTGCATGTAATCCAATTTTTGGTCACATTCATAATGAGCTAATGACCTCTTACTAAATGTACAGCCAGTTCTCCTTTGCAGTCTTCTCTTGTATTGTTCATTTGATGCAAACATTTCCCCTGCAAAGAGAGAGAGAGAGAGAGAGAGAGAGAGAGAGAGAGAGAGAGAGAGAGAGAGAGAGAGAGAGAGAGAGAGAGAGAGAGAGAGAGAGAGAGAGAGAGAGAGAGATCTCAGCTGGAATAAAGTGGGTAAAGTCAGGTCCGGCAGCCTCTAGTAGAAAGATTGCCACCTTCTTTCCATCTTGAGGGCCACAGCTGGAGCAGATGTGTCTTTGGAGTCAGAGACCTTCAGTTAGCTGCCTGATGTCAAGCACATCTTAGCCTAGGACAGAATCTAACCCAAAGTTGTCTGTATATGCTCTTTTTACTAATATATGCCAAGGACAGGCATTCCTTTCTACCTGTAAAAATTTCTCTGAAATTCTTGCTGGGGCTGTGCGCCAAGCTTGCAATCTTGGCTCACTGCAGCTGCCACTCAGCTGTGGGGGGCAAGGGGAAGTAGGCAGGGGACAGCATTTCCTGTTCTCAGCTCCTGTGCCTGCTTCTCACACCAGGAGCTCTGATGCGAGAAGCAGGCAAGAAGCAGCTAGGGTTGTTCCTCCCCTCTCCTCCTTTGCACACAGATGACTTCGGTAGATTTTCTGCAGTGTGGTTTGCAATTATGTTTTCCATTTTTTTATCATTCTGGAGGCCTCTTGGAACTTTTTATGTTTCACTGCTCTGGAGAGTATAGAGCAACTTTCAAGATAAACTGTAAAGCAAATTGCAAACACTCCTTTACCAATCACCTCTTCTCTTACACAAATTAAGATCTTCTTTGAGCTGTAATAAATCTCCTAATATCAGAAATGTCACTTCCTGCCTCTTTGCTAAGATATCTGAATAGGTCTCACGAGCCTGTTACATGAACCACAGCTCTCTCTCACCTCTCAGCTGAGAAGTGAAAGGATGCTGAAGGCAGTTAGATAAAGTAAGATTTTCTCCACAGTTACTTCATCAGCTATTCAGCATATTCTCTTTCCTGAAGTGAGGAAAGGGAGAACTGCAGCTCAGTTTACAGTCCTGTATTATGAGTACTCAGGGTCCAGCAAATAAAAGCAGCTGAAGTATACATAATAATTTAGATGGAAAAACAAACAGAAGAACATTTTTCAAAGCAAAAAAAAAAAGATAAAAACACACATAGTAAAGAAATAGAGTAATAGTAAAGAATAGTTCTAAAGAATAGTTCTGTGTCACAGATAATAAAGTTAAAAGGTTCAGTGGATTTTTTTGGTCTTGCTTCATATTTTTATTTTTTCAGTCATGTTATGTCATACTTTTATTGAATCAGTCAATCATTACAAAGCCTCTTAAAATAAAATAAAATAATGTTTTCTGAAGGAAGAAGGAAGGCACAATATTTTCTTTGTAGTTACATTTTTTTTTTAAATTTCAGGGACATCATCCCAAAGCTCCTAATTCTGACTCTAAACAGTGGGGCTCTTTCTTTGTGGATAATATCTCAGGATTGGAAAGTACAGAAGACACCCTAGTTCAAACATGGTGTTGCAAATGCATTAGTACTTATAGCACTATTGCAATCCCAAGTATTGAAGCAATAGCAGGTAAGAAGGACTCTTTTTTTATTAGTGAATGTGTGAAGTGTCCAAAGTAATTTTGTCATGTTATAGATACTGTCTTCGGAGACTGCCTATCTCTAGACTCATCCAAAACACATTTCTGATATCACTTACCAAGAAATGACTAGTTGCTACTAATTACTTTGAAATTTATTCTTGCAAACGTCATGGGGTTAACCAGTTTGCTTGTTTGTTTGTTTGTAGTTTCCTTTAAATATTTCTGTGCTTATTAGATCCTCTTCTAATGGAATTGGAGCTCAGGTTTTAATCTATTTTTGATTATGAACAAGCTCTTCCTAGGCCACGGACACATGTACATTTGAAGTACTTCAAATTTAGAGCACTTCAGGCTACTTCATGGACAAATGTACAGCCCTTCTCCCCCTGTCCCCCATGTCTCCTGTCAAAATGCTTCAAAGTCACTGCAGTGGCAAGAAGCGGCATGTTTTTCATCTGGGGGCATACCAGGGGGTGGCTTGGTCTTGTATCTTTGCTCTCCACTCCATCCCTGGTTATGAGGGTAGGGGGAGGTGGGGTTGTGGACTGGACAGATATACAGTTAATGAGTTAACGTACGTTCAGCCTAAGAGGTGTAAGACCCAAAGTAAGGGCCCAGAGCAGGAGCAGAAGTGTGACCCAGTGTGGGGCAGAGTGATCCTGAAGGCCTGTGCAGAGTAGAACCTGGATGGGACCCAAAGAGCTGCACAGAGTAGGGCCTGACCGGAGAGAGAGTGGTGGGGAGAGGCGGTAGGGGAGGGGCAGAATAGTGTGCCCAAGCAAAGAGGCCAGGAGGCCAAAGCCCCCAGAGTGGAGCCTGAGGCCACGTTGGGCCAGAGGCCAAGTGTGGCCCAGCAAGAAGAAGGGGGAGTTGTAGGCAATTTTGGATGCTATGTGCAAGGCATGGGACATGGTATTATTGGAGGTTCAGATCCATGTGTTTTGCCCATCAGGGCAACAAATGGGCAGCCTCCCACATGTAAGTATCAATTTGTGGTAACATCAAAGGCATGGCAGGTGAGTGAGGGTGGACTGACCTAGACAGGGGGAGTGCCAGTGATGTACCCGGCCCCAGGATGGCCCTGTTACATATGTCCACTGCTTTCCCCACATCCACAGAGCCAGTTTTCTCATCGTAGAAGGCGTGGTCAGGCATGACTTGTCTTTGGTGAATCCATGCTGACTCATCCTGATGACTTCCTTCTCCTCCAAGTGCTTAGAAATGTATTCCTTGAGGAACTGCTCCATCATTTTTTCCAGGGTCTGAGGTGAACCTGACCCTGGATCCTCGTTCTTCCCTCTCTTAAAGATGGGCACTATATTTTCCCTTTTCCAATTGTCTGGCTTCCCATGGATCCAGAAATTTGGCACCAGGGGAGTGGTGGCACCATTAATTGCTGCCAAATTTCTGGACCCATGGGAAGCCCAGAAGGCCAGATAGCATGGCCCTGTATGCCAGTTAGCTCCTGCGTGCTGCTGGATGCAGTAGGTAGGCTACATGGGGATGGATCAGAGTGGCAGGCAGCACATGACTGGATTGAGTAGGTGAGCAGTGTGTGGTCAGATCAGGATGGCAGGCTGGCATGCGGGCAGATTGGGGAGGCACACAGCTAGATCAGGATGGTGTGGGATCAGACCCACAGACTGACCCAATACCATTCCTCTGGCCTGCAGCAGCAGAAGGCTGGGTACTGTAAAGTATTTTGTTGCTCCTCTTTTCAGTGCAGCACTAAACTAGGAAAGTAAAACCCAAACTAAGTAGTCTTTTTTACAGAACATCAAAAATGAGAGGTGCACCGATAGACATTTAATTAAAACAGCCGCTCTAATTAAAACAGCTCACCATCACATGTATTGTCTCCCCATGTGTTTCAAAATGGCTGTAGGACAGTTTATCTAAAACTCAATCAACAAGGTTTAGATAAAGCGCATCTGTGGCCATTTTGAAACATGGGTTTAATACATGTGATGGTGAAGCAATGCTGAAGTGTTCTAATTGAACATAGAACAGACTTGATAATAGCATGTTTGTAGGTACCCTGTAAGTCCCTTGTTGACCGAGCCTTAACAGACGTTGGCTGAGATTATAAGATATGGCTCTGCTGCATTTGTTTTGGAAGTTCAAGCAAGAAAAAATTCATAACCAGTTATATGAAACTAATGTACGTTGGAGTTTTCTCTTCCAGTGGATATTATATATGTCAATATAATGCATGAGTCCTGCCCAGTTGCCTCATGAACTTTGTAATCTAGATATAGATCTACACAGCAGTCACTGCTGTGAATGCTGCTTCCTGAGTTAGCTTTGAGCTTTAAGCTAGCAAGTTTAAGTACTGGTAGCAGCACAGACAGAGATCCGTTTGATGTAATCACCTAAGAAGGTGTTAACTGCACTTAAAATGTGCGTGACTTTGCATTCAAGCAGTAAAATATGTGCTGAGTTCAATCTTAGCATAGCAAAGTTGCGCCTTTGTGGACTTGGAGTA